TATCTCATGGAGGGGTTTGGATTCACGTTCTGCATGTTTAGCATACTGCTGAATTCAGATGTCTATGTGAATTTCTGAAATGTAGGGATTTCTTCATCTGCTGAAAGGACCTATTACCTCTGCCTTCTTCCTCCCTCCCCCCTCTTCTTCCCTCCCCACCTCTTCTTTATCTGGGAGGCTTTATGGGCTAGGTGTGGCAGCACCAGACAGATGAATCTACGTGATATTAAAACCAGATAGCTCACGAGATGTCTCTGTATCATGGGGATAGTTTTAAAATTAATAACAGGTAAATTAAAACTGCATTTACTCCATGAATATATGCTGTCTGTTGAGTAGGCTTAAAGTCGTCTGGGTTACTGCATCAATTTAAGAAGTTGAAATACAAATACCTAAACACAGGCTTCAGAGATACTGTCTCAACCTCTCTGAAAGAACACAGGTCATCTGAAATGTTCTGGTAGAAGGAGTTATGTAAGTGGCACATGTCATAAAACTGTGCGTGATGTAAAATAAAACCCATAAGAATTTAATAGAGTTGGTAAAAGAGTTTTAAAGAGATTATTTGGGGTTTTGTCATCTATCTGAGAGAAAAAAAACAGTTTTTCAGTACAAGTTAAAATTGATATTTGAGTGTTCTTCAGTTTTCTAAGTTTTATGTGTTCCTGCAATATTTCAGCAATTCTACTGGCCCGTGATAGGGTCTCTTTTCATATGCAGACCGTTTCAAAGGCTGTTCTCCTATTGATGAGGTGGCCCAGCCAGTTCTCAGGGAAACAGTGCTGCTGCATGGGCAATGTGCAAAGCATGGCCTCGCTAATTTAACAAACTGAGAAACAGCCTGCATCACAATTTCACTTATCAGTGTCTGCATTTAGTGTTTGTGCTGTTGTCTCCAATACAACTGAAATACTGATAATTGTAGCAGATTTGTTTCATTACCACATAGTCCTCCTTAGGACCTTCATCATGACTAAAAATGCTAGCAAAGAAACATCTCCACTGTCTGCCCAAATCTCCTGAGCTTAAAGGAAAAGTAAAAACTACTCAAGACCTTAAACACTGTAATTGTATAGCAATTTGAGTCTCAACCACCTGTAAAAATATTTGAAGAAACAACAGCAAAATCTCAACCATGTGGTAAGCAGTTCTGTGATTGCTGTATGGTGTAGCTAAACCTGTTGATTCTTTATGTAGAATTTTGGCTTTTTTTTAGGTTAAAAGGAAACCCAGGTAACCTTTTCTGCAGAGAGATGTACAAGATCTGGAATATAGCAAAGAGAATATTTCCTAGATGAAGATCCTTCTTGAAATAGTTACTGTGGTCTCCTGAGGACGCAGTGAAGTATCTCCACAGTTGCAGGACAGGGTGAAGGATGTCTGATGGAGACTGAGTCTATGTTAGTTAAAGGTTTATGGCTGGTACTTTTCCCTGGTTTGCATGGAGGTGAACATGTAATGTTTCCAGAGGCCAGATCATTATATACACATGTATTTATTCTTTGAAGTAAGTCTATTGAAACACCCTCTTGTTTAATCGAACATGGGGCATGCTCAAGCACAGGATTCCTGTTGTATTCTGCAGCAAGTAACTCTGACATAGAGATAGGAAAAAGGATGGACAATAATTATGTCTTTTATTATTATTATGAACAGTGTGTTGATAGGAGTATCTCACAGCACTTCGTAAGTCAGTAGGGGAATCAGGGAAGACAGATGAAGTGGCTTCACTGAGATAATTTAGGAACCAAGAAACCAAGAATAGCATTGAAAATGGTTTTTACTTGCTGTTATTGCTATACAGTCTTCGCTGTTTGTTTAAAGGAATTAATGCTCAATCCTGTGCTATCTCATCCTTGACTTTCATTAAGTTTCACTACTTCAGTTTGTAAGAGATGCATACCTCAAAGGAAAGGTATGAAGGGGAGAAAATTCTAGAGTGAATTGCAAAACAAGTAGATCACTGCTGTGGCACACCGTGGAAGTATTCCCTGTTGAGCTTCTAGCTTTTGAAGTGCTTCAGAGTTGGAGACCCTGTGGGGAATAAACAGAGCTTGTACATCCTCTACTGTGTACTTCTCATGAGCCTAAAGGAAAAAGCAGAGCGTGTTGCAGACTTCTAAGTCTTCTGTTAAAGTCTTTGTTTGATTAAAATTTTATCAGGAATTCTTAGATTGATTGATTCCAAGGTTGAATAATTAATTCATGACTAATAATTGTGGAGCTGTAATTTCATAAGTAATCCACATTTTATTATTTGTATTGTATACAGAAAGTTTTCTGTGTAATGGTTTCCTTTAGTGGTCCAGTTCAGAACCTTCAGCAAACTCCAGCTGTGTGCTGTAGTGGTTGCAATATATGGAAATAATGCTGAACACTTACTGAAAAATTTGTGAAGTCGTATAAGGTCAAAAGGAGTGAATGCAATGAGAGAGAAACCTGACTTTCCTGAGAGAACTGAGTTACAAAACAGGAAAGATGCACAGGAAAGACACACTGTGTAAGGCTGTTTGTTGAATATAGAAAGCTTAAAGACTTTTTAACAGAGCCTGTCAAAGGCATATCTAGTGTTAAATCACTGATTAACAAAAAGATGTTGACTTTGCTGATAGGATTTGCTATAGTTACATTTTCATTTAGCAAGGAAAATTTCAGTGGTAAGTTAGAGATGAAAACTGTATTATCAAGACTTGAAAATCCCTTCATAAGGGATCAATGAGGATTTTTTCATTTCATATTACCCTTGATGTTCTTTTAAGGCTTTGCACGGTAGCTATTTGATTAGCCTGTAATCTGATAAAATCAAACTTGTCCATGTCTTACGGTTTGTTTTTTTTTCCCTAAATACCACAGCTTCTTCCACTTGACATGCACAGACAGCGTAGTTTCAGAAGCTGTAGTTGAGAAGAGCAGGGTAATTCTTTTTTAATGTCTCTCTTTAATAATAATTGCAATTCAATATTTTTGGTGAGGTGTCACTGCCCATGGCAGGGAGATTGGAACCAGGTGATCTTAAGGTCCCTTCCAATCCAAAACATTCTGTGATTCTATGCCACACCCCACACCCCCCCCAATCACATTTTCCAAACTAATTGTCACTTTTTATCCATTAAAACCAGAACACTGACTACTTTCCTTTGAACCAGTAAAGGGAGGTGGAAAAAGATGCATTTTATGATTTTATTTTTTTGTGAGGCCCAGTCTCCAATAAGCAATCAGACCATCTGGTCTTTTTGCTTCTTACTATGCAACATAAGTGTTCTAAGTAGTTTAGGTCAAGTTAGTTAATTATGTCTGTCCTATGCAGTTGGTTGGTACAAACTTGTTGGCTTTTTAAGGCTCATTTATGGTCTTACAGTTGAGATTACACTTAAAGTTGTGATTTATTAGTATTGAAAAGGGAGAAGAACTGTTTAGTACATTGTTACTAAATGGTGATTGGGAAAATTAGCATTTTTGTTTTGTTTGCTGCTTTCATGGTGTCTTCCCCTTAAATATTTAGCTGTGTAAATATGCATTTAAAATTTTTGGTGTTCTGCTTGAACATGTTCTGCTCCATTGAAAAGTGTTGAGAAAGAGACCAAAAAGAAGAGCACTTATTCTATAATCTTGTGTGGGTTTTTTCTTTAAAAGCTAAACATCAACAAAAATGTAATCTGAAATAAAGTGCATAGTGTAGTATGAAAGAGGACCAAAAGGCATACGGAAGACCCCAAAAGATGTATCATGGTGTTGACTGAGAGGTGACGAGAAGTGAAGTACAAACGAGCACGAGTTCAAACAATGTCACAGAAAAGTTTATTGACACTTACATTGCCATGGGCCATTAGCTTGTTAGGTTCAAGATGGGATTTGACATTCACAAGCATGCTAGACATTGTCTTAATTGTTAAACTGTACTTTGGCTGTGTACTGAATCTCATATGTCAATGCTTGTTAAGTTTCTAGCTACTTGAGGATAACAGATTACAGGGAAATTATTCTACACCAGTACACGGAGCAGTTTTTAAATGCCAGTTCCCAAGTGCCATTAGTCACAATGTGAGACTGGACCCCAAAATGCAGGGGTAAGATAAAGTATGACTGTTGCCGTGCTCCTTGAAGAACAGAGGCTAACTCTTTGACCCACTGATGATGGCTTATTTTTTGGATAATTTGCATGTGAAGCATTTATGAGGCCTAGCTTTCTAAAGGTCCTAAGCACCGCTAATTGTCACAAAACAGTATTATCTATCAGAATCATATATTCTAGTCATGCAAATACATAAATAAAATAATACTCAGAACAGGCATTGTAAATCTGTAAGAATTCATTGCAACAGTGTTAGAAATGAAGGCATTACAAGAGAAAAAAAATAACAAAACTTACTCTAAAACTCAAGTCTTGCATGTGTATATTCATGGTTAATTATGGACACCCTAAAAATAGGGGCATATAATGGAAATGCTGACAGATTCTGAACGATCATGTTGGTAACAGGCACTGCTATAATTAGGTGTGCATCTGGGTAGACAGTGTAATATGATCTATGATTCTGTGATTCTATGATTGACGTGTTTATATCCTGCGCTGCAAGGAATGTTTGTTAATCTGCACAATCCTTTTAAATTAGTTGGGGAGCAGGAGTTTGTGGAAAACAGGTACTGAGGTTTATTTCATATTCAAGCTGATGTGCATGTACATCAGAAGACAAGAAATACTTGCAGGATATTAGAAAGCTGTGGTTAATGGCAGTAACATGATGTTATCTCAGGACTGAGATAAAAACATCACTGTACAATCAGCAGGAGAAACATGCAAAAAGTTTTCTATCTTTATATTATAAAGAAAACGTAGTTAAAATAGCTTGTATTTCAGTAAGATATTTTCTTTTCTACATTTTTATGTTTTAAACTCCTCCGTCAAAAAGTCTTTTTCTCCAGTTTTTTTTTTTTCCTGTCCTTTCCAACCCTAACCATTCTATGGTTCTATGAAAGTACTGTTTCTTTTGTAATTTCAGAGGTCAGAGCCCAGCTGTTGCTGAATTAAATTTGCTCCTGAAAGCATATTCTTTGGAAACTTATGGTGTTGATCCTCATCCTTGCAAGGTAACAGTTATTTTTGCTAAGATTCAATAAAATGTTCTTTTTGCTAACACTTAATAAAAATACATCTGTTTTTTATCCAATCACAAATACAGAGTAATCTGTAAAATAACTTGGCCTGAAACTACATATTACATTTAAGGCTTGGAAGAACATTAACTGCTCAACATTTCTGCATCAGTCAAAGGAAAGGTCTCTCCAAAGGAAACAGAACATCATAGGAGACTGTCATAGATTGTCATGACAAAAGCTTTTATTATACTTCATAATTTCTCTGCATTTTGTGCAAAAATTTCTCTAAATCCTCCAAGTGTGAAATATTTTGTTTGCCAAGATTTTCAGGATTTAGCATTATTCTGTCCAGAAGATGCAACAAATTGTTAGTCCTTGGCAGATTAGTTCTTCAAACGTCCTCAAAATATGCAGATCTCAGGAAGGGGCAGCAAGCAAAATGTACAGAAGAGGGAACCAGAAATGCATTTGTGTATTCCTCCGCTTTGCTATTTTGTGGTTCTGTAGAAGTAGGTGATTTTAGTTACCAGTTCTGATTATCCCTTACACCTGCATTTTTAATTACTTGAATTACAGTACTTTATTTTTGAGTTAAAAAAATCAAAAAATGACCTTTCCTATTTGAAAGGCAAGTGCACTGAATGCTCTGGTTTGTACTCAAGAATTCTTGCTTATTGTAGCAAACACTGTCAGCAGTACTTCCAACACAGTATCTTGCAGAAGAAAAAAGTATTGTGAAATCTTAAAGTATATCAATGTTGAAGCAGATGTGAATCAATGGTTTGTAATTAGTCTGTACATTACTTATGACATACACAGAAGTATATTTTCAACAAAATTAGTAATATACCTAAGGATTCCCTGGTGTCATCAGCTAGAAGTAGACCGAAACAAAACGTAAGTTGCTGTTATTCATTTAAATGCCTAGAAATAAATAGGCCCTGTATTGCAAGAGCAGTCTTGGTTCTTTAGAAGTGTTCAAAATTGATTTTGAAAGGAAAATAAAATGGAGGTAATCTATAGTGGAGGAACAATTTGTACTGTAAGAAATGCCTCATTGGCTGAGAGGAAAATTATTTTTCCTTTTTTCTTTTTCAAGGACTCAATGGGGATGACTACATTTTTAGGATTCACAGCTGCAGGATTTGTAGTTTTCCAGGGGAATAAAAGAATACATTTGTTAAAATGGTAAGCGTATGAAGTAAGAGGAGATAAATATGCAAGTCTTCTGTGTCTTCCCTTCTTCCTACTATCGTCACCTGCATTTGTTGTCTTTAAGATGAACCATGTGAATATTCCTTTGCTTGTCTGATCGTGTTTCTGTTTTAAAGGATGTTAGATGAGAAGTGTAATAATTTGGTCTTGTTCTTCTTCCAGTGAAAATTATGTCACAGTGTGTATTAATCAACATAATGCACTAATGCTAAAATTGAGTAAGTTAATTTTTCAGCTGTGCTGTAAAACACCAATAAGGCTTATTGTCAAAGATGTCTGGCAGACTTTACAGGAGTCCACCTGCATCTTTATTTGACTCTTGCTAGTTTCTCATTTAATTAACCTCAATTTGAACACTGTAGAAAGATTTATTTGGTAAGCAGAGGAGGAGGTGAGGATGCTCTGAATTTTTATTTTCTAGCCTCTGTTTTTAAGAAGTGGACATTTACACAATTGTCCTTTCCTTTCCTTTCCTTTCCTTTCCTTTCCTTTCCTTTCCTTTCCTTTCCTTTCCTTTCCTTTCCTTTCCTTTCCTTTCCTTTCCTTTCCTTTCCTTTCCTTTCCTTTCCTTTCCTTTCCTTTCCTTTCCTTTCCTTTCCTTTCCTTTCCTTTCCTTTCCTTTCCTTTCCTTTCCTTTCCTTTCCCTTTCCCTTTCCCTTTCCCTTTCCCTTTCCCTTTCCCTTTCCTTCCTTGCCCTTCCCTTGCCCTTCCCTTCCCTTCCCTGCCCCTCCCTTTCTTTCCCTGCCCCTGCCCCTTTCCTCCTTCCCTTTATTTTATTTTTTTTTATTTTTTTTTAATTTTCTGCTTTATTTTCTGCTCCTGGAAGATACGTGACTTAACTGGGTAGCTTCAGTCATGTTTGAGGGAGAGGTAACACAAACCTCCTGCAGGTGAGGTAACAGCAGCTGGCTATGCCTTCAGCAGTGTGGTGCAGAGTGAGCACAAGCATGCTTACACATTGATAAATCACACTTTAGCCTTGCTGCTAAACAGATGCCAACACCAGTTGCGTAGATGTGGCTGCTTTACCTCAGTGCTCCCAGCCTGTTGAAGAAGATGGGCAGAAGGTTAAGAAATAGTGAGGTGGTTTTTTGTGTAGAACTGGACTATTTTCTGAGTATCAATAGAAACCTCCCTGATGGTTGATAACCTGAAATTCTCAGAGATACAAAGTCAGTGTCATATCATACAGTCCTGTCTGTATGATTCGGTTCCCTGTGGACATCTGGAGATATGTCTGTCAAATACCATCCATTTGTGATTCTGGGTTTGGGCTGCAGTTTCCCTAGGGTTAATTTCAGGTAGCCTTAGTCACAGGGCTTTGATGGTATGTGCTTTTGGCATAAGGATAATATAACTGTAATTTTAGTCTACAGCTCAGGGAGGAGAGAATAGCATTTGCCAAGCATGTATCATACTGTGGGAAATGAGTTTCACAGCACTTGTTTCTTCATGTTACTGAAGGATCATGTGTCCTTTCAGTAATACTGGTGTATTGCTTTGATATTAGCTGAAATTAGCTCAAATTAATATTTGAGATTTTCTTTTCAATGGTAAAGCTTTCTCAACTGGAATGATTTTTTGTTGTTATTTAATGTTAAACTCTTGTTACAAAGTTTCAGGGATAGCGTGGACCTTGCTTCCAGAATTGTTCCCGTTTCAAACCTCTGACATCCAGAATCTTTAGAGAAGTTTATGAAACTACAGTGTCTCTGTTTTAGCTGTGATTATGAAAAAATTTCCACTATGTTTTAAGCAGAGGCATTGTATCACCTTTATATTCCATATAGCAGTGCACTGCTATTGCGTGTGTAAATGGTGCTTTCAGCCATTCTATGAAGTTTTGACACAGGTTTGCAACTCACAAGGGCCCCAGTATTAACTGCTGTCAAACACTTTCTTTTTCTTCCTGTGTATTCTATCTGTGATAGATGTGTGATATGAAACCACAAATAAATAAGGAGAGACATAAGAGTATTGTCTTTCCCTCAATTTAATTACATTAGAACTTCCAAATTTTTAAAATATGAGGAATTACAAACTGTGTAGTATATAGAACATAAACATAAGCTTCTACCTACTTTTAATTTCCTCTTGATTTTCTAGGAGTCAAAGTTAATTCTTTAAACATGCATAGAGATGTAAAATAAATACTCTGGGCTTATGTTCTGTAATCTAAAGAAAATTAGACTATTAAATGCTTTTATGCTAAAGGTATGTTGAGGATTTTTGTCATTTGACACACTTGGCTCGGGATTTGGGGAAACGTGCATGTAAGTTGCTTTTCTTACCTGTTGATCTATTTTTCCTATACTGAAATTATTTTTCTCTTTCTAGGTGTGATGTCTATAAACTGAAATTTGAAGGGAAGACTTTTTACGTGTTTGGAGCTCAGAAAGAGGTCAGGTTTAATACAGAACTTCTGTATTTGATTTAGAATCAACTAAGACATAACATCATTTTTCAATGAAAAAATATCTAAACAACCAATAATTGTACTTCCTGTTGTACATAAAAATATAGGAGATGAGTGAATGTAAATATTGCTGTTGTCAAAAGTATGTCTAATTTGCAAAGAGTTAAGACACTGATCACTTAACATTCATGCAGTACTGTGTTGATTGCTCATGGTTTTGGTTGTCTGTGTAGTCTGGTTTTAATGGACTTTAAAGCGCTTAAGCTGTATCCACTCTAAAACATGAGCAATATCTGTATATGGTTGAAAATTCAGGATCAATGTGAGGTATTTTTGGTTAATAATGATAATCTTCTCAAATCTTGCTCAGCTGAAGAGGTTGGAGTCTGTCCTAGGTAGATAAGAGTTCTATGTTGCCATTTGAATTGTAAAGATTTTTGCTACTGAATGCTAGAATCAGTTCTTCCCCTAGGGTAGAATGAGATAGCTCGAGACTATGGCTTTAGATACCATCTAGGTGAGGAACAGAAAATGGAGGAAGGCAGTAATTCCAGAGATATCAGGGGCTGTTTATGTGGTTTCTTTTATTTCTAAAACAATTGCCTAGGCAGTGTAATTATCAGCTGTGTATGAGTTGTATTTGTGTGGATGAACCACATATTGAGGCTACACAGGAAAGCTTGGCCTTCTGTGTGTCTGGTTCATGGTGATGCTGTCAGGTACAGATTCTTAAATTTTTGAGAATTCAGTGCTTTCATTACTTTTGTTTGCCTTCTTTTCCTTGCATTTAGAAAAAGACTGTGCTGTCATTCCATACCTCTACACCAGCAGCCTGCAAGCATCTTTGGAAATGTGGGGTGGAGAACCAGGCTTTTTACAAGTATGTAAACCTGAAGTAATTTCCTGTAATGAAAGTAAAAAAATGTGCATGTGAGTAGAAGACTGTTCAATGCGAGATGTTCCATTTCATTAGCAGAATTCAAAATACAAAAAGAAATATGCAAGTTAATGGAGAATATTATTTCATTTCAAGCCAGTATTATAAAGTGTTTACAATCTGCATGAGGCAGGAGAGTTTTGGTGGTGAATCATTACACTTTTCCCAGCACACTGTTTTTGCTTTCTGTAGTGTGTCATGGGATGGACACAGTACTGCAGTTGTGTCTGGGAACATAGTTGTTAACTTACCCCTGCTGTTGAATACCTTTAGAATCATAGTTTAGAACTAGAATGGAGAAATTAGAATGGAGGAAGAAATCTGCTATGCTTGATTCTCTGGGCTATCCTGCCACCAGGTAATGTTCTTCCACTCTCTAAGATTTAGTAAGAGTTGATTCAAAATAAAAAAAAAACAAACTGATTTAGGAAAGAAAGTGTTCTTGGATACCTTTTGAAAGATGCCAGCCATCTCTTTTTTTTTTTCTTTTATTAAGTCTATAAATAAGCAAGAAAAAAAGGAGTGTCTATTCCCTAAAAAGGAACTTGAAAATAATTCCTGATTAAAAAGCTCTTTCTGCCCTTCACTGACTTTGTTAGATCTGTTTATTGATGATCCCCTTTAGGCATGTAGCTTTCATTCTTCTCAGTTAGTCTTTCTTTACAGCATCTTGCATATTTTATAAAAATAACCATTTCTGTGTTGGAGCATATCAATGCCAGAGGGCTGCTGTAAGACTAAATAATAACTAAGTAGGAAGAATGTGTCTTCTAACATGGATATCATTTTTTAAAAGATTCCTTCTTTTGTTTCAACACTGATAAAATAATATATCAATATAAACCATTCAATTGGTATGTTCAGTGAAGAAACAGGAAATGTGAGCTGGCAAAATAAAGCTCTTAATTCTGTTTTAATACCTACTGTGTTTGTGACTGAATAAAAATATTATCAGGGAGTGTTTTCTGTTGGAAGTACATGTAAATAGGAAAATAGTGTGTGGTGTTTAAGCAGTTTTATTTTATGTTAGTAGAAATGAATGGGGGGAATAGGAAACAATTCCCACCACCTAAAGGAAAGAAATTAGTGCTGAGGAAGACTCAGGAATATCATCTCTCTAGTCTTATTGCTAAATGGTTGTAATATTAACTGTTTGGATTTTGGTCACATGGTTGTGGTGGGTTTTGACCTTGAATAGGTGCCAGATGCACATGCAGCTCATGGGTTGGAATACAGACAGAAAGACTGCTTAGCTATTATTGTCACTGGCAAAACAAACTTGACTTGGGGAAGGTTAATTTCATTTGTTTCTCACCTTCTTACTTTATTTTAAAATGTCAGTAAAGACAAACCTAAGAACACTGTTCTGTTTCTCCCCAGGCTCAACTTCACTCCTTCAGTTCTGAGTCTTCCATGTTCTCCTTACCCTGAGCAGTGCAGGGAGACAGGGAATGGGGACTGCAGTTAGTTCATATCAGTTTTTCTCTGCTTCTCCTTCTTCCTCACACTTTTCCCCTGCTCCTTCAGGAACTGCTCCAGCACTGGTCTTTTCCATGGGCTGCAGTCCTTCAGGATAAACCATCTGCATTCCATGCTTCTCTCCATAGACCACATCTCTTGCCAAGAGCCAGCTCCTGTTTGGATTCTCTGCAGGCTGCAGCTTCCCCCAGTGCTTATCTACCTGTTGTAGTGCAGGGTCCTCCATGGGCTGAAGCGTGGATGTCTGCTCTGGCCTGGTTTTCCATGGGATGTAGGGCACAGACTGCCTCACCATGGTCTGCACCACAGGCTGCAGGGGAATCCCTGCTTTACCTCCTGGAGCACCTCCTCCCTTCCTTCTTTTATCTTTCGTTCTGCTGGGCTGCTTCTCTCATGGCTTTTTTTTCTACTTTCCAAATGTCTTCATGGCATTACTGTGGGGTTATTTCTTTAGCAAGGTAGTTTTAAATTATGCTTGCCTCTTTCAATTTTGGTGGGTCTCAAAAGAGAACTGCTTTACTAAAATGAAGATTAGTAGTGATATTCAATTGGGAGGAATCTGGCTGATAGATTGGAAAATAGTAATGGTTAATATGTGGACTGCAGAAAAATAACAACAATCCTCCAAACAAGATACTGAAGCCAAAGCAATCTGTAAATACAGGCTTAGGAGACTACTCTTGAAACAGCAAAAGTTTTCATACGTTTTAGAGAAAATGAGCTGTATAGTGTGGACTGTTAGTAATATAACAGCATTAGATAAATCTTATGTTCTGTACAGGACGAAAAAGTATTCTAACAAGATCACAACAGTCATAGCCAGGTTGTGTAAGTAATTCATGATAATGACTCTTTACCTTAATTAGATTTGGTCCTCTCGTCTGCTTAGAAGAGCTTGAGATGTGGAATTTAAAATAAGGTCATCATCACCTTGCATGTCTTGAAAAGCAGAACTTTAAGTCCTGTCTCAATACAGGCTCAGGGTTGACTGTTGCTTTATTTTCAAGTAGATATCTGGGAATAAGAGATTCCATATAAAATCAATTTGCCACTTTGAACGCAGAGAACATCAAGAGATGGTGTGTCTGAGGTACTCTTTCATGATCCTTGTGATAAAAGACTGTGATAAAAGGTAGCTCTGTACTTCATGATTACAGAGGAGCAGTAGCATACGATACAGGCTGCTAAGAAGTTGACTGTATGGAGAAATGCAACTACTTTGGGAGAGAAGCATTACCACTTCTTTATTAGGTGTTTATTTTACTAGTGCGAAAGTGGAAATAGCCTTATCTTCCCATAAACAAGGTGGTGTTAGGGCAAACTTGTCCTAGGGGCTTACCACAGTCATTCCTTCATCCTGTGAATAAAAATCCTTAGAGACACAGCAAATGTCTGCATTTAATTTTCTTGCTTTCTTATCCAGGTAATCACTTGGTTTACATTCAGTGGTTCTGTGCTCTCTGAATTATTATATGTGTGCTTTATGTTTTAATTTGTATAAAGGCTTAAAAAAAGTTGGAAAGCTCAATTATTGAATATTACTTTGTGTTATAAAAGTAACAAAGCTTGTAGTTTGCCTTGTTCAGTTCTGCTTATGAGGTTCCTTCTGTGCTGAAAATGTGGTATGTTATTTTTCCTCAAGGTATGCAAAATCCAGTCAAATCAAGACCATGTCCAGCAGCAAGATATTTTTTAAAGGCAGTAGATTTCGATACAGGTAGGTGTTTGCTTTTCTTTTTCATGGCGAACTGCTGCAGAAACTAAGAGAAAATGTCCGTAATTATTCATGGCAAATAAAATGCTTTTCCTTCTTGAGGATCCATTCATACCTAATCCACATTCATACCTAATATTTTGGTTTGGTTGTGTCCTGGGTTCAGCAGTAGCAGTCATTTTTCCCCTTCTTGGTAGCTGGTGCAGTGCAGTGTTTTGACTTTCAGCTCAGGAACAGAGCTGATAACAAGTGATGTTTTGGTTTGGCCAAGGACTTTGTGAGCCTCATGCTCTGCCAGGGAGGAGGGGGAGCCAGGAGGAAGCAGAGACAGGACACCTGACCCAAACTGACCAAAGAGGTATTCCATACCACAGCACGTCATGCCCAGGATGTGACTGGGAGTTAGCCGGAAGGGCTGGGAGTCTGCAGGGTTGGAGGAGGTATCGGTCAGAGCTTGGTCGGGCTGGGGGGGCGAGTTATCGGTCGGCTGGTGGTGAGATGATGTATTCTCTTCCCTTGTTATTTCCTTTATCATTATTATCATTGGTGGTAGCAGTAGTGATTTGTGTTCTACCTTAGTTACTAAACTGTTCTTATCTCAACCCGTGGGAGTTGCATTCTTTTCGATTTTCCTCTCCGTCCCTCCGAGAGCAGGGGGAGGGCAAGAAAAGGGGGGGAAAGTGAGCGAACGAATTACCTGGCTGGGTTTAAACCACGACAGTTCGGTAGACTGGAGGGAAGGAATGCCATCCAGAGGGACCTTGACATTCTTGTGAGGTGGGCTGATGCCAACCTTACGAAGTTTAACCGTGCCAAGTGCAAGGTCCTACACCTGGGTCAGAGCAATCCCAGGCAGAGCTACAGGTTGGGCAGAGAAGAGATTCAGAACAGCCCTGCGGAGAAGGACTTGGGGGTGTTGGTCAATGAGAAAATGAACATGAGCTGGCTTCAGTGTGCTTGCAGCCCAGAAAGCCAACCGTACCCTGGGCTGCATCAAAAGGAGCGTGACCAGCAGGTCGAAGGAGGTGATCCTGCCCCTCTACTCTGCTCTCTTGAGACCTCACCTGGAGTATTGTGTGCAGTTCTGGTGTCCTCAACATAAAAAGGACATGGAACTGTTGGAACAAGTCCAGAGGAGGACCACGAGGATGATCAGGGGACTGGAGCATGTCCCATATGAAAACAGGCTGAGAAAGTTGGGACTGTTCATCCTGGAGAAGAGAAGGCTGTGTGGCGACCTCATAGCAACCTTGCAGTATCTGAAGGGGGCCTATAGGGATGCCAGGGAGGGGCTCTTCATTAGGGACTGTAGTGATAGGATAAGGGGTAAAAGGTTAAAACTTAAACAGGGGAAGTTTAGATTGGATATAAGGAAGGAGTTCTTTCCTGTGAGGGTGGTGAGGCACTGGAATGGGTTGCCCAGGGAAGTTGTGAATGCTCCATCCCTGGCGGTGTTCAAGTCCAGGTTGGACAGAACACTGGGTGGTATGGTCTAGTGTGAGGTGTCCCTTCCCATGGCAGGGGGGTTGGAACTTGATGAGCCCAAGGTCCTTTCTAACCCTGACTATTCTATGATTCTATATTCTAAGTCAGGATTCGAAAGATTTGCTGTTACCTCTTTAGCATCACTTAGTAAATAAACTGGAGGCTTTGTGCAGACTCTTGTCAAAGATCAGTGTCACCAGAATAGGGCTCCATTTTGATGGAGTTTCTATAAAAACAAGGATGTGTGGCCTGGTCAGAGATTGTATGACCCCTGTAACTGGGCAGTTATGGACCAGGGGAGCACTAGTGGGTCAGTCCAATCACACCTAGTGCGCTACTACAAAAGGTTGCTTCTTTTTAGTAGCTTTGGAGACAAGTGGTCAGCAGTATTTTTAATCCGCAACATTGTATTTTCACTACATGCGATTTTTTTTTTTTCACTTGTCCACTTTTGAATGTAAATTAATTGTTCATGTATGTATAGTGCTTTGCATTTCCTTGAATATTTCATGTTTTAATGCAGCGGAAAAGTAGCCAAAGAGGTTGTGGAGGCAAGCTCTAAAATCCAAAGGGAACCTCCTGAAGTTCACAGGTATGTCTTCACATTTGAAATTAAAGTTTAAGGACTAAGGAGAATTATTGTTCTCTTCAAGGAAATTTTCTTTCCTTTACTGTGAGGTGTAATGTCTGTCATTCTGAGCTTCCACAGTGAGGTATGAAAGACTTGGGAAATATGTGTGAAGCTATACATGAAGCTGGGTTTAATCAGTCAGTTAGATAAGTAGCTTAGATTATTATCTGGGTTATAAGTATAATCTTATTACATGATCATGACAGAAATGTATGTTCTTATTTCATTCGTAGATCTTGCCTGGTTTTGAAAGATTCTTTGTATGTATATGGGCATGTTTAAAAGTGTATTTGATAGTTTTTCATAACAGTCTAATTGAAAATCAAGAAGTTCTTTCCTGGAGGCATGGGGAGGTAGATTACTTGGGCACACAAATGTATTTTAAATGAAAAAAATTATTCACATAAGGAAATAGCTTATTGTCTATTTTTGTAGGGTTTCTGTTTTCCATAGGATAAGAAAAGATTTTAATGTAAAATTATTTTTTATCTTATATTTTACTTTTGTTTCAGTATTTAAACTGTTTTGAACATATTATTTAAAACTCTTAGTGTATGTGAAGAAACAGATCAGAGAGCAGATGAGTTTGTAGAGCAGTGATGTATGGGTTTTGTATGTGAAGAAACAGATCAGAGGGCAAATGAGTTTGTAGAGCAGTGATGTATGGATTTAACATCCATAAATAATAATATATATTTTTAATGACTAACCTTCTTAAAATGCTTGTATTTACAATATTATGGTAGCTCTAAGTTCAGTTTCTTAGAAAGACTAAGAAAAAATCTAATGATTTCAAGTGTTCTTATAGTATGGGTTTTGAAAAGGGAGACAGAGGTAAATAGCTTGTCTTTGCATGGTAAATAGCTTGTCCTTGCACAAGTCATCAAAAAGCATAGAAAATATTCAGCTAAAAAAAAGCAGGCTTTAGAAATAAGTTACTCTATGAAAGAAAATTTTGGGGTGGGAAATGGTAGTTTTACAGATGCAAAACATCGAGATGATATGACTGAAGGTAAATATATATATTTTAGTATATATATATATATAAATTATTTCTATATAAAGTTCAATTCAGTGGTATCATGGCTGCATTGAGAAAGAAACACGCAGTTGTGAGGAGGTTACTGCTCAGTGTCTTCATGATTGGCTATTACACTGAAAGCACTACAGACTAAAGATTTGGAGTTTGTAGTCATGCAGCGTTAATGCAGTGGCAAGTTCTTCGGAAAAATACACACTGAATGATTTAATATTTTGCTTCCAGACCATGCCTGAAGGAGGGATCTTGGTAAATAAATACGGAGTAGGAGCATATGGAGTAGGAGCCCTGTGTGTGCTCCATAGCACAGCTTCTATTTTGGGCTAGTTTTTTAGCTCTTTGCAGCAAGCACAAAGATCGAGGGGTTGCGTAACAAGTTCTTGAAGGTACCGTTGAGTTGGAATACGTGTAGTTACAGTAATCTGAAAAACTTCTTTGGATAGTGAAAATTTAAACTAAATAGTTATTAGAGACTGCTTACAGAATGTGAAAGTGGACATAAGTAGCTTTGGGCATATGTTAATAAGCAAGGAATAATGGCAATTGAGAAAGAAAGCTTGTTTATCCCCACAGAATAATTAATGACATGTAATGTGACCTAGAGTAGGACATGCATCCCAGGTTTACTTAAACCTTCAGCAACACACAGTCCCTTCTTTTCACTTGCATAGGTACTTGTTGAGTTTGTTAATCTATGTGTAATTTTGAGACTGTGCAAACTTGAAATGCATTTTGTGAAACTTCGGCACTGTATGTATGTACATTTGAAGTCAAGTCAAATCCTCTTCCCTTTCATCTTTGCTGCTATCAAAAGTAAATTATGTTACAATGTAATGGTTCAGATTCATTGCAGGACTCTTGCTTCAGGCCTGTATCATGTAAGTCTTAGATAACTTATTCTAAAGAACTATTTTACATTTTCAGTAATGTGATTTTAGTCTAATGACCCTCATGACTGAAGTGAATCAACAGCATTCCTCAAATTTCCCTGAGAAAGTTCAACACCTGCTACCAGGAAAGCCTGTTAAAACCAACTAAGATAAGAAAGAAAACAAGCCTGAGCACCTGGAGGCATGGCGCAGAGACAGTGTCTAGGGTGGGTGAGAATGAGAGTGTCTAGGGTGAGTGAGAATGAGAACACTGTCTATGTGTTAAGAGATAGACAGTGAAGATAGTTGTTCCTGCTTTAGTCTTTAGTATGCAGTGCTCAAACCATAACAGATCCTCCCTGGGGGATCATTCCTGGAGGCAGTGCAACAACATGAGGAAAACGTTTTGTACTCTTTCTGCCTTCACCTTGAAGCCGAATGCTGATGTGTACTGTGCAGCGTGGAGAGGAGCAACATGCAAGATAAAGAGGAGTCAGGCTGTGTAAAAGGAAGTAAACCAGCACAAAACTTTCTTACACTTCAGATATTGAAAGATTTATATCTGCTGAGAGTTCAGCATAACATGGTTTAAAGCAGTGTTCAGCGTGCAAAGCTTGTTATGGTAGCTCAAGGCCTAGTGTAATTTATGCAAAATGATTCTAAGATGACACATATTGGACTTCATTTGCTTCCTTGCGAATAAGCTGATGCTGTTTCCCTCATTCTTTTAGAACCAGCATTACCCAGAGTCACAGCTCTCCCTCCTGGAACAAGCAACTCATAATCAACATGGAACCTCTACAACCTCTCCTTCCTTCTCCCTGTGAGGAGGAAGAGGCTCCTTTAGATGAAGGTGAGTCACTTACCTGATTCATGCCAAACACTACCAGTATTTGTTATAAAAAATATGGAAAAAGGTATGTTACTGGCTCAGGGATATGGAAAATTTCTAGTAATTTTTATTAGAAGTCCACTATTAAACCTCTGTACATCATACTGAGAAATGATCACTAGCTTAAGGAGCGAGCCTCATGCAAGATACATTGTGGGGAAAGTTACTGCTGTTAAGCTTTCAGTTTTAGAATCTTTTTTTAGATTATCAGGTGAAAGGAGCTTAGCAGGAAGTAAGTAATCTCAGCATAGCACCATTTTACTAAATACTAACTGTAGTTACTCAGGAGTAAAAATTGGCAGTTTACTGGTAGGTGCGTTGTTTTTCTTGCTTCCCTTTACTTTTAGATTCTTTCTGTTCTAATGTTACGAAAAACCCTCTGCTAATTTAATTCCATTGACAAAAAGGGATGTTATTTGAATGTCATGAAGGAAAGATTCTCTGCTAACTTAATGTCGTTGACAAAAGGGATGTTATTGGAAGATCAGCTTGAATATATTTTGTAGAACAAGGTTTTCCATGTATTTGTCTATTCCTTGATATTCTAAAAATCCCATTCAACACCTATCTTTTTGAGATCCAGCCATTACAAAGAATGATATGAGTATCTTAGCCATCTTAAATGAGGAAAACTGCATTCTTCCTAATGAAAAAAGGAAGCCAACCAAACAAAACCTAACAGCAGTGTTCTTACTTGAGTTTCAACACTGAATGTAGTAAGAACAGGGTGAATTATCTAGTTACGTAGTTAGCTTGTCTGTGTAATTACTAGTAGGAGCTGCATAACATGCAGTAAATTTTAACAATTACTTGTTTTCCTCTGCTGTGAAATACCTGTATCTGATAATTTGCTTTCTGGCAGCAAAATACCAACACTGTGTTTCTGCTAGGCAGTTGCTACGACCTCAGAGTAACAACAGCTTGCTGCTTGTAAGACTGCTCTGCCACACTTAGAGCTGTAAGCAATGATACTCATTTTTGGAAACTGCTGACTTGTTGCTATATGCTCAGCAGAGAGTGTGGTTTCAAATGTGTATTACATAAGTTTGAAAGTCATGTTTCTTTTAAAATTGTTATTACTACTACAATTTAACAGAAACATTTGCTGATGGGTTTCCTGTAGAATGTAATAGAATCATAGAATCATAGAATCGTTAGGGTTGGAAAAGACCTTAAAATCATCTAGTTCCAACCCCCCTGCTGTGGGCAGGGACACCTCACACTAAATCATATCACCCAAGGCCTCGTCCAACCTGGTCTTGAGCACTGCCAGGGATGGAGCATTCACAACCTCCCTGGGCAACCTATTCCAGTGCCTCACCACCCTAACAGGAAAGAATTTCCTTCTTATATCCAACCTAAACTTCCCCTGTTTAAGTTTTAACCCGTTACCCCTTGTCCTGTCACTACAGTCTTTAACGAAGAGTCCCTCCCCAGCATCCCTATAGGCCCCCTTCAGATACTGGAAGGCTGCTATGAGGTTTCCACGCAGCCTTCTCTTCTCCAGGCTGAACAGCCCCAACTTCCTCAGCCTGTCTTCATACAGGAGGTGCTCCAGTCCCCTGATCATCCTCGTGGCATAGTTAAATACTACCAGCTGCCACATTAACAGTATTTAGCTCTCTTACAGTATTTTCCTGTAGTGAACTTGGCTATATTACCAAATTGCAGTGTGAACTGATCTCACAGCTCTCTGACACTGATGCTAGCTCTCTTCCTCACGTGCAGTCAATCCACTTCTGTGATTCCTGTCTTCGCCCTTGCACTAGCACTGATCACCTCAGAGGGAACTGGGAGGAGTTAAAAGGAAAAAAAAACCGAAACAAACCAATGAAAAATACCAACTAACCAAACACCCACCCCCCCCCCCCCCAAACTCCTAACTGTACCATGTCCCACTACTCCTGGCTCGACCTCTAAGTGGCTTACCAAAGAAAATCAGGCAAAGTCTTGGGCAAGGCCAAAGACAAGAACAGGAGTAGGGAGAAAGGAGGCAGCTAGCCCTGGGCCTGACTGAACTGCGTTGGGAAACTGTTTTTAGTGTGCTACACATGAAGATCCTTGGCATCTCTCTAAATGTCTGGGCCTGAGATAGAAGGCCTGCCAATACTATTGAGAGTATGGTGTAGCCCTACCTATGTCAGGTTTCCCTTCACTGTGTGGGTTGGCTAATGCAGCTTCCAGGACCAATGCTGATATTTCTGCAAGGTGCTGCTGCTTGTATACCAGTGTTCCGGCTGCTCATGTGGCCAAGACCTTCATAGGATGCTGCACTGTGCTGTGTCGGTGGGCCCAAGCAACATATTAGCAGGGCTAGCTATAATGGTACTATCAGATATGCATACCTTAGGCAGACTCAGGAGAATGCACAGCTTTGTCTTTTAACTGAGTAATACTTACTTGTTCTTAATTTTAAATTGTCTTTATGTGTTATGAGCAAAATATATGGCCAAAACCATGGTGGCCTCAGTGTCTTGAGTAAATACTTCTTCTTCCTGAAACTTCTGGAGAGATGAACTCTGAGTTGGCTGAACCTGAGTGGTATGAAACTCAACTAACAAAAACTGTCACATGATTTTGTGCCAATTACTTGCCAGTTGCTAGGGGACAAAGCCATAAAAAGATGGCAATGGCAGAGTCTGAAGGGGTGTTTTAGCATCTTCAGCCTGCCTTGTTCTCCTTAGGATAATCCTTTCAGATGGAAAATAAAAGCAGGTGGAGCTCATATGAAATTCTGTTTTATAAATCTACTATGGCTATCATGCTGAAGTGAAGCTATTCTACAAAAAAGCACAAATTGTCCAGTGGTTTTGCAGACATGTAAGAAAGGGTACGCTCATAAATGACCATTGTTTGTGGGAAGAAAGATTTTAAATGCCTGTGATATCACAGTAATAGTTACTTTAGCATTTGACACTTACATAAGAGGATTTGAAAACAAGTAATGGCATTTTATTTTTTATTAGAATGGCAAGCATAAATATCCTGAGTTTGTCTATTGATGTCTTGTTTTTCAAGAGGTAAATCTTCAGTCTGCACTTAGAGGCCGTATACAGGTGTTCAGTTACTAATTTAAGCTCCCAGATTTGAATTGGTATTCTTACCTCCATGTGCTTCTATTCCTGTTTTAAATTATAGTTATGTAACTTAACTTACCTAAGAGATTGGCCATCAGCAAATACATATTTTATCAAATTAAAAAACTAGTCTCAACTAGTCTCAAGTCCTTGTGCTTTAGGTTTTGTAGGTCATCTCTCAGTCCTTTGTTGCTACAGCTTAAGATTCTTCAGGCTCTCACACTGCTTGTTACTGACTTTTGTTTTGCACTAATGTCCATTCTGTCTCCAGAAGAAAGAGTCATGGTATTGTAAAGATGCAATCATAAAAGTACTGTCGTGTGTAGGAGGTTATTCTGAGAATTAGATTTTACATGGGTCATTGTCAGGTGTGGTTGGGAAGGTCATTTCTAGATTTTGAACCTAAAAGTTATTCTTCAGGAGGCACCTACCTAAAGAAGTTTTAATCACACAAGTGTGATTGCAAAATTCATCTTTGTCACAGATGGCAAAATTAGATCCTTCCAGTTGGTCCTGTTAGGTCCTTTGCATGGTTGTATTCCATATGCAGTTGAAAGCATTGTATTTTTTTTTTTGTATTGGTGTAAGAATTGTATGGCTGCCTTCTTTCACCATCTAATTTGGTGAGGCAGATTACTGCCTGTTCTGATCACTTGGCAGTTGTTTTGCAGGTGGTAGATCATTGTCTGGATTTTCCAGCACCAGATACTATTAGGGCTTCAGGTATTTGAATAGTCCAACTAAAAAAAAAAAATAAGTAAAAAAAAGGCAAAACCACACCTCTTGAGTCACCTGATATTAATGTGGGTTTAACAAAGTGATGGAAACTCAAGTTACTAAACCTGTGGGCTCAGGTTTCATACATGAATTATTTTCCTGGTAACACTGACTTTTGCCTTTGGAGCAACCAAAGGGAAAGTAGCATGCTTCAGTAGTTCTATTAATTGATCTACCTTGTACTGTATCTGAGAAAAAAGAAAATTGATGTCCTCATTGATCTTTTAAGAATTTGTTTTTCTTATGAAATTGTATGCTTGTGCATCTGAGTTGTGTACAAAGAGCTCTTATCCTTTAGTGAACTTATTTTTGTGTGTCACTCAAATGTAAGAAATATTGCATTAACAACAATTAATTGGCATGAATGACATTTCATTTACACTGTAGAGTCTTTGTTGCATCTTAGAAGCATGTATGGGGATGAACACACAGCAGCTACTACCAGACTAGATGTGTGTCTGTGTGTGACTTCTCACCTGTGTAAGCTTTGGTTGTAGAGTAGAGGCATATGGATCTTTTATGTGTATAGCTGAGGCAACAACACATGAAAAATTTGCCATGTAAGAATAATAATATGAACAAATATTAAAAAAAAATAGCAAAATAATAATGTTAAGTACCTGTTCACATGTCATGTCTGTAGAGCAAGGAGAGTATTACAGGTAATCAATTTCACTGTTTTCCCTGGGCACAGCTCAGTGTTGTTGCACTTAATTTTTATTGGAAAAAGAAAATTGTTTAGCCCTGACTGTGTCTCTGGTTAGAACTAATACACAGCTTGTCAACAATCATATTTTTTAAATCACACCTGCTATATATGAGACAGTTTATCTTAATACATTAGAGAAAGTCATGAAACATCTTGTATCATTGTCGTGGTTTAAACCCAGTCAGGGAACTCGTTCACTCACTCCCCCTCTTCTTTCGCTCCCCCTACTCCCGGAGGGACGGAGAGGAGAATCGAAAAGAATGCAACTCCCACGGGTTGAGATAAGAACAGTTTAGTAACTAAGGTATAACACAAATCACTACTGCTACCACCAATGATAATAATGATAAAGGAAATACAAGGGAAGAGAATACATCATCTCATCACCAGCCGATCGA